TGAGTGGATAATGAAAATGTGGTTCATTTATACAATGGAGTTTTACTCAGCAGTAAAGAAAGATGAAATCATGAAATTTGCAGGTAAATGGATGGAACTAGAAACTGTTATATTAAGTGAAGTAACACAGGCTCAGAAAAAAAAATCGACGTATGTTCTCTCTCATATGTGGATCATAGAACCCAACCCTCATAAGTGAGTATGTAACCAGACATTACTGCAGGATCCAGGATAATGGAAAGGAAATGGGGAGGTAAAGGAAAAGAAAGAACCTGAAAGAGAAGAACAGTAGGAAACAGGCATTAATAAGGGAGATACTGATAAAAATTGGGTTAGTTTAAGGGAAGGTGGAGGGAAGGGTATACAAGGAACATAGGGGATAAAGGAAAGAAGGAGCTCAAGAGAGGTAGGCCCGTAGGAGAAGGCTATTATTAAGGAATAAAGGGGGGAAATGGGGGCGTCTTAGTTGGGGAGAACGTGATGGATGGGTGAGACAATGTGATAGATAAATAATGCCTAGCTACTTTAAAAAACCCCAAAGAACCATATTATTCCAACAGCCTACTGACCAGTTATACATATCAGATCAAGAAATATATGTCTAGGTAATGTTTATATGAGAACAATTGGTCTTTGCCCAAGATTTATCTACATGACACACAGTAGTTAAAAGTACCAGACTGGCCGGGCGTGGTGGAGCATGCCTTTAATCCCAGCACTCTGGAGGCAGAGGCGGCCAGATCTCTGTGAGTTCAAGGCCATCCTGGTCTACATAGTGAGTTCCAGGACAGCTGGGGCTACTGGGAGACCCTGTCTCAAAAAGACCAAAAAAAAAAAATTACCAGAATGGTGGAACTAACCTTCTTGGATGTTTATCAGACATACTTTGAGGCCTATAATATGGTCAGAGGGGCATAAAGGACAGTTTTTGCTCCTTGTCCTCCTAGGTCAATTAGTTCCAGGGGACTATGAACATCTTTCAAAATGTCCTGTAATTGTGGTGGGTCATCTGTCCTCTTGATCGAGGAGGCCAAAGAGACCCCATGAGATGGACTTGAAACAGTGTTCAGTCTACAAAGAGGAGGGTCAACACAGAGGAATCATTTCCTCCATGCTTCCAAGCTAAGTCAGCCATGGTAGAGCAGGAGCTTTGACTTATCTTCACATAGGCGGAACTGGTAAAAGAAAGGAGCCAGGGGCTCCTCCCAAGCCTATGTGACCCCTGAGGAATAGATCCTCAAACAACCTTAAGAGTAAAAATAAATCAGTTTATGTGGACCAACTGTATGGTCTTAAACACCCAAAAGGAAAGTATGACCAAAGATTAAAGGGGCCAAAATAATTTCATAAGAGTCGATATGTATAGCTAAAGGCTACACAACAAGCAACAATGCCAGATAGGAGTTATTGGCCAGGGTGGCCCAAGGGACTCCCAGATAGTAACCCAGCATAGAATTGGGAAAATGAACAGCAGACCTCAATCTTATCTAAAGGAATATTGACAACTGATTGCTGCTAGATGAGGAACAGCTGACCTTTCTAAAACAAAGACCTCTAGATAGGCTGACTAGATTCACCAGATGGACAAGTAGCGGGGAATGGCTGGGGGGGCAACAACACAGCAGACAGTAGCAGGGATATCATAGTATAAGGGCTCTAGTTGGGGGAGGGGGGGTATGGGCGGGGGCTACCTGGGAAATGGGTGTAGAGCTGAATAAGATGGTGTGGAATGTTCTGTGTGACACACACACACACACACACACACACACACATGCAAATCAAATTAAAAAAATTCTTATATTTGAATAAGAAGCATGGAAATTTATATTATGTTAAGCAGTATAGGTGATAAACATTACCATTGAAATCTACCCAATGACTTTATAGACATACACAGGTGCCAAGGATCCAAGTGCAACTGATTATGACTAGTAATAATGAGATACATACAGATTGGAGATGCATGTGCCAACATCTCAGTGTTAGTAGCAAAAACAATGAGTCTTTCTGCAAGGAACAATATATTTTAAAATGAAATGGAGATCTTTTTGAAAGGTTAAAAACTCATTCAATTTTATGTCTTACAGGGCTTATACTGAGTTCAATATTGTATAACTGTATTAAGTCAACTGTGAACCTAGAAATTTACAGCCATTTGTGAAAGAGATGTATTCTTGCTCTGGTGTGTGTTATTGAATACGTTAAAGCTGTAATGAAATTCTTCTTCTAATCATGTGGTTATTAAAAATTTTAAAAAAAGGTTTCATGTATCTTCACTGGCATAATGTTTTATTCCATTGACTGATGACCCTTAGAGCAAACTATCTCACATTCAAAGAGATGGATCATTATTTTATTTTAATTAAAATCTGTCAAGATAGTTCTTCCATTCTAACATTTCACTTTAGGAAAAGTCTGTCTTCTGTCTGGAGTTTAGACTGTTATGGAAGCCCCATTCCCTATTTGTTCAAATTGTACTACAAGTGATTTTTCAACACAAATCTGTGTTTTTGTTAAACATCCCCTTTCTTATGAACAGCTATACAATTATACATTTGAAACATGCATAATAAGAATTCAATCTAGCAGTAGTAAGGAAGGATGCAGATATGGGAGGAGATCTAAATAATCAAAATGTATTGTATGAAATTTGCAAAAATTCAATAAAAGAGAAAAAATAGAAATTAAATCCTAATGAATGAGATTTTTTGCCATATATCAGCATAGATCACAAATTCCAATTTAATGAGTTTCAAATGCAGTTTGACCTCAACTGAATTGTAAGTTATCAAAGTAGTCTCTCTACTCCTAGTAAACTATTATTCCACATATTATTTTACATGTAAGACTGCATACATATGGATTTTTGATGATTCCTAACTTTTGGTTTACAATTACTAATAAATTATAATTTATTTAATATGAATAAAATTTGATATAGTACAAAATAGAATGATACAATAAATTTACGTTTTAAAATAATGACAAACATTCATAGATCATAAATTATAATGATAATTTTTCATCATTTTACGGACATTTTCTTACTGGACACCATAACTTACACAATTCAAAAATTATTAAAAGGTATATAAAATGTTCTTTTATGTTGCTTTACTTAAAAATATTGTATTCTTATTTGTTGGACATGCAGCCTGTGAGAATACGTTTTGCAGACATCCCTCTAGGAGCACTTGGCACTGTGGTAGAGTGTGTGGTAGACATCTGCATGCAGAACATTGAATCAGAACCCAACAGTCACGTTGTAAAAAGGGACAATAAAGTTGAGAAATCTGAAATTCCTTTTATTTTTAAGTAACAGTGTATATTTCTTTATTTGAGGCTATTCATTCAGGAAAATTTCAAGCATGTGATTGGGGAAACCCAACTGTAAATATTCAATGCTATAATCAAGTAAGTTTCCTTCTTTCAGATGTGTTGATTTTTCACCGTCAGAAAAAAAGTATAGGAAAGATCTAATGAAACACTTATTGTTAAAAAATTTCAGTTACTTTATGTTTCCCAGTAAGGTGGTACAGATAGACCTCAGAGTGTATTCATAAAATAACTGGTTCCTCAGTGCAACACTATAGAGAGCGCTTCTGCCTATAGCCTTTCACTTAACCTTACAACTTTCTGTGGTCAATCAGATATTATTGATACAATCATTTCACATGTAAAGATAATAAGACTTGGAGAAACATATTTTGAAAAGCATTCGATTTATCTGAGTTAAGACTGAATAGTCTATTCCTACTTAACAAGGGTTAAGATTTCATAAATTCTAAGGTCTTAAAGAAATAATTACCATTATTATTTCATAGAAGATAATTATCAAGTTGCAACTCACAGTTTGATATTTTTAATCTAAATGTTGCTGTTCCTCACTTTCCTTTAGCCCACTCCTCCATTATACAAGGTGGAGGACATGAAGGTTCCAACTGCAATGTGGAGTGCTGGGCGAGATATTCTGGCAGACCCAATACTTCCTGCAATTTTGGAACCCCAAATCTCAAATCTCATTTACCGCAAGAAGATTTCTGACTATGGTCATATGGATTTTGTAATAGGTTCGAATGCTTATAAGGAAGTTTTCAATGAAATTTTAATATGTGTCAGTGAAGATCTATCAAGTTGAAGTTCTTTGGTTTTCCACATATTCTTTTTGCTACTTTTGAGGAATTCCTTGCTTTTCACAGTGCAAAGAAGTCCTTTGCTGTCTCTACTTTTAATGACCTTTGATTTTTATGTCATTGAATCATTTTGTTAAATTACTTGAATTTGTCCTGAAAGTATGAGTAATAATAAAATAATTAACTTATCCCAAATTCTTTCTAAATTGTGGATGCTTTTATATAACTAGAAAGGAGCTCTTTGAAGAGTAGACCTACATTTTATCTATAATCAGATAATCTTGAAATACTGAGGCAGAAGAGTCAGGCCTGTGACGTGCCTGTGTGGGATGTCATATCTGGAAAAGGAGCTATAAAACTGCCTATCTTAATTTTTGGAAAGGAAGTGATGGGAGAATGCCACCTAGGATTTTGCCAACTTAATATCACAAGAATTTATTACATTTTTATTTGGCAGTAGTAAAATACCATTATGGTAGTAGAAAGTAGCAATTTGGAATATTTGCCATTCATTCTAAAATACCAAAACACTAGAAGTAAATTAAACTAGAATTTCTCTATATCCTAAAATGTGCTTTTGATCAACTTTTTATAACTTTGTATGATATACATAGTTCTGAACTCTCATACATCAGTTTCTGAAATGGGAGAAATGAAAATGGAGAAAGATAATATTAAATAAAGAAAGAGACATGAAATTGGAGTGCAGTGCTTCAGGACAAAGTGTGGACTGGCAAATCAAAGGGAAAATACAGAATGTCTCATATACAAGAGATTTCATTAAATAGCTTTCATAAAACTCTAAGAAGACCTATCACTCACCCTTAGATACACTATATCAAAATGTTCCTACTTTTCCAAACAAATAAAACTTAAAAAATAAATTTCAAAATATCAGCAAATGAAGAATATATATAACATTACCTATTTAAAAAATAAAAGATTTCTTAGTGTGCTATGTCAACAAATAATAGGGAATCTTTGAGATATGTCACATTGTTTCAAACAATTTTATCAGTGTATCTTCTAACAAATATACTCTTAAGAAACTTCCAAGATCATATAATATTTATTAACATCAATGACAGCATGCCACGTTTGCTCTGTGTACCTATTGATTTTAATCAGTATGCTGTCTAACTTATAAGAACTATTATGAGTAGCAACTGTAACTCCAGGAATAGGTGATAATAAGCCATAGAAGAAAATAGACACTGTTGTTTTCATGAAGGTATGAGGAAAATCTTATCACAAAGTGGGGTGTATAGCTCATGCCTTTAATCCCAGCACTCCACAACCAGAGGCCGGTGGATCTCTAAGATCAAGGACAGCCTGGTCTACATTGTGAATTCCAGGTCAGCAGAGGCTACAAGAACACCCTGTCTCAAAAAAAATTTTTTTTAAGTTAAAAACAATAAAATCTTGGGCTGGAGAGATGGCTCAGTGGTTAAGAGCATTGACTGCTCTTGTAGAGGACCTGGGTTCGATTCCCAGCACCCACATGGCAGCTACAAACCGTCCGTAACTCCAGTTCCAGGGGAATCTGAAGCCCTCTTCTGACCTCCACAGCATTGCACAACACAGGTGCACTCACTTACATGCCTGCAATACACTCACACAATACAATGAAAATAATAATTTTTTTTAAATATTGAAAAAAAGCAATAAAATCTTAAGACAACAAAAGCTTTTGCAAGCAGAGATGAAGCTGAATGTTGTATTGTCCTAATCATCTGCACGATCTGACGCAAGAAACTCCTTCTTGAGCTCCAGGTGGTTCTGTTTTCATTTTTGTTTTTCCTTGAAAATAAAGAATACCATCAAACTAGCTTTTAAATTCTTATTTCTAAGCTCGAATTGGTCAAGTTCCTGCCTATGCACCTTTATCCATATCCATCATTTATGCAATAACCAGAATTGGTTGTTTTCAGAAGCTGGTATCCTTGTAGATAGAGGAGAAATGTTGAAAAAAATAATTTAACTTTGTATCTTTAGGGGAAGCATCTGATGTCATCCACATAATATTTCATGCTCTCTAGTCTTTTTAAAATACTTTATTTGTTGTTTTTATTTTATGGGCATGAGTGTATTGCCTGCATGTATGCAATGTCCATGAAGGTCAGAAGAGGGTGTCGGATTCCCTTGGAACTGGAGTTAAGGATAGTTTGTAGCCACCATGTGGGTCCTAGGAATTGAACCAGGGTCCTCTGCAACAGCAGTTAGTGCTCTTAACTGCTGAGCCGTCTCCCCAGTCCCAATGCTTTCTAGTCTTTAGAGATACAAAGGCCCAAGTAAAATATGACTCTTTCCTTAGTTCAAACTATTGTAATTATTCCTGAAGTGTTACTGAACAAAAATGAACACAAAAAATGACTCCCAGTCCTTCAGTTACATCACCAGAAGAGACCAGTGAACACAAAAGGGTTGTAGACACCCGAGGGTAGTGAAAAGTACAGTGAGAGTAGAGAAAAACATGAAGAACAGAAAGAAGAATGCATTGCTTCCCATTACCTGCTTTGATTTCTGTAAATTCACATGAAGAATGTACAGTCAGGCAGATTATGAGAGTGCAATGGAATTCTACTCAGAAACTAAACACTAATAAAAATAACAACATTGATGAGTCTGTGAAATTCTGCTCCTCTCACATTCTCAAAAAGACAGGTGTCAGAGTAAAGTGGTTGCCTTGGAGTTAGGTTGGAGAAGACCAAGGACGGGACACAGAGTTCTTTGTAGTGATAAAACTGTAGCTAACATGGTGGTTTGAACACGAATAAGTATACAGTTGGCACTCTGAGTCTACGACCTTCACAGCTGGTGATTCAACCAATGATGTGCAACAGTTTTTTGGCATAAGCCTGCTCTCCAACAGCTCTACAAGCTGGGTTTTGCCACTCACAGCAATGCACCAGTTACAGAGGCAAGCAACAGAAATCAAAGTTTGGTCAATGTTTCTAACATTAGGAACAGAAACAAATAAAGGGATTGAGTGACCCTAAAGTCCATCTTTGGGTATACTGACATGACAGAGGGCAAGGGGTGTGCAAAATTAAGTAGACCTGGTCAACATACAATCCTGACCACGATTGGCCTATCCATATGTCGAATCCTATCTCATGCTCTGTCCTGCAAGGTGGTCCAACAATTTGTCAGAAATATGAGAAATAATTTCCTGTGAGAAACCAGAGTTATAGACTTATCCTTCTCCAAGCATGGGATTCCTGGGAAATTTTTAATTATTTGTGATCCATTCTTTCAACAATCTGATGGACAGAGAGTAAAAGAGAGAGGGAGACACAGAGGTGTCTCTCTTTGGTTAGCTCATTTTCTTCTGTGGCAGTTACATTAAGGAATAGAAAATATCATCAA